AGGAAGGAAGGAAGGAAGGAAGGAAGGAAGGAAGGAAGACCAAGAAAGCAAGAAAATACCTGAGCCTTACTCCAGACTGAATAAATCAGACTCTCTGGGCACTGGTATTTTAAGAATTCCTTTCAGGGAGCACCTGAGTGGCTCAGTCGGTTAAGCATCCGACTTTGGCTCAGGTCATGATCTCACGGTTCGTTGAGTTTAAGCACTGTGTCAGGCTCTGGGCTGACAGCTCGGAGCCTGGGGCCCACTTCGGATTCTGTGTCTCCCTCTGTCTGCCCCTCCACTGCTTGCACTCTATCTCTCGCATTGTCTCAAAAATAAACATTAAAAAAAAATTCTTTCAGGTAATTGTAATGGGCACCAGGTGAGAAACAGTGCTCTAAATTCCCAAAAGCATTGCCTGCACCTTCTCCTGTCTTCCCCTCATGAAGCTAGCCAGCACTGTGCCGACAGTGACACTCAGCCTCAGCAGCTAGTCTCTTGGCCATGCTCCAGCTGAGGGGCTGCTGTTAACTCCCTCCCTTGCCCACCATGGAGGAACACCCCTTACCTCGGAGGTGTTTCTACACCACTGTAAGCTGCCTTGGCCTGGACTGGCAGCCCTGGAGTCAGCCTCATGCCTGCCTCTGTGGGCCGAGAGTCAGGCCTGCTGAATGATGATCCTCGTGCTGTACTGGGTAAAGTCTCCTGGCTGGTTGGGGCCTCCTTGACCCTGTTGGGTGCTGCAGACAATTCCAGGTCAGTCCCAGGGTTCTCAATGAATGCTCTAGGAACTTTGGCTTCCACCTCTGTGGGCAGCGGCAGGTGGCCAGGGGGCACTTCTGCCTGCCCTAGTGAAGCCTCTTCCTGGGTAAGAAGATCAGATCCTATCCCTGAAGCATTGATGGGAGTCAGCGTCTCCACTGTCCCCTCTGGCAAGTTTTCCTTCTGGCTCTCTACAGGAAAATAGGCAGCATAAAAATGCATTCCTATATGGAGAACTCTGTGCTAAAGATATTGTAACGAATGTGCAAAGGCGTTCTGTGCAGCATCTTTATAATAGGCAGACTAGAAATAACCCAAGTGACCACCAGTAGGAGGCTGGTTGACTAAACCATGGCCCATCACACAGGAGTACTGCACAGCCATGAAAATAGAAAGATGCAAATATCTCCTTATGTGGCTATGAAGCGATCTCAGGATATACAGTGAAAAAAAAGTCAGGTGGAGAAAAGTATGTGCTTCTCTTTATCTAGGAAAGGAGGATATGTGAGTGTGTGTTCACAACCACTTAGAACATGGTAAAAATGTTCATGCTTAAACTTTCATGCCTAAAGAGGCAGAAAGAAGGATAAGACAAAAACTTTTTTAAATGCTTTCATATGCAAGGGAGGGAACACAATGCAGAGAACAAGGACAGAAGCTAGACTTCTCTTAATATACCTTGTTCTGTCTATTTGACTTTAGAACTATGTCAATATTACACAAAATTGTAAAAGAAAATGAAACTTTAATAAAAGTAATCCATAAAGATTTAAAGGAAAGTGAAATAGACCTGAGGTTGGTGGCATAGCTTACACAAGAAGAAGCTATTCCAAGTGACTTTAAAACAGTAACACAGGGCACCTGGGTGGCTCAGTCAGATAAATGTCTGACTCTTGAGTCTTGATTTTGGCTCAGGGCAGAATCACATAGTCATAAGATCGAGCCCCATTTTGGGTTCTGCAATGACAGTGCAGAAATATAAATAAACATTAAAAAATGTTTTTAAATAAATAAATAAATAAATAAAATAGGAATACATAGTGGGATATACATACAGGACAAAAGAAAAAAGAAAAAAAAAGCAGCAGCTTCAACAGTTTTTCAGTGATCACATTGTCACCATTGGTATTTTTATTTTGAAACTATTATGTGTGTGATGTGAAATAAAGCAAATAGGGTCCCACTCACCCTCCGGAGACCCCCTGATCTCGGCCTGCACGGCTCTGGTGCTCAGCACATGCTTTGGTTTTGCTCCTTTCTCTTCCACTCGATCTTTGTTCTAAAAGAAACACCATAAAAACCACCACGATCATCATCACCATCATTGTTCAGGCCACAGAAGGTGGAACACCTACCATATGCTAAAGGTAGAAGTACTTAGGTTATTTCACGTGGTCTCACAGTAATACTAGAGTGTAGATATCACTATTGTCATCATAGGGACAAAGACACTTACCCAAGGTCATCAAGTTCTTTGTAATATGTCTCATGTTGTCAGTAAGGAGCAGACCTGACAGGGCTTCTAAACAGACTGGACCCCAAACCACGTAGACCAGTAATGGAAAATAAATTTAATCATAAAGTGTTAATAATTCAGATCAGTCAGTTATGGCTATTGCTTGGATTCTAAAGTCAAATTAACCCATGCTTGTTTAAGGGGTGGGGATGGGTAGAGGGGAAAGAAGGGTAGGGAGAATGCCACAATCAATGAATAGTGTCTGCCAGGAAACTGGGTTGATGCATCCTATGGTCACCCCTTTACAGTACAGTAGTGTGGCAGGAAGCACAGCCTCTCAGACTCTTGACCCAGACCTGTTGGGTTTAAACCCCATCTTCACCACTCAGCAGAGATCCTTAACTGCTCTGTGTCTCACTTTCCTCATCTGTGAAATGGGGAGAATAATATTATCTGACTCATAGAGTTAGTGAGAGGATTGGGGAGTTAATTTGTGAAAGGTCCTGACAAGTGTGTCCAGCACATGGTAAGTGCTCAGTAGCTCTGGTGATTTTATCCTGCCTGAGACAGGGAGCTGTCTTCGATGAGCCAATTGATTGATCCATGGATGGATTGTGTAAGGACACTCAAAGTCTGACCTAGAGAAGCCCTCAGCAGCTCTCCCTTTAACTCTAAGTGGTCTGCATGAGGCCAGTGATCTTACTCCTGAAATAGTAGGAGTACTCAGTGTTTTTAAGTGCAAATATTTCTAGATGACCTAACCCCTTGCTGGGTGCCCCTGGTGTTTGTAGAGGTTTTGAGCCTTTGACTGGTTGCAGCCCCTAAAACTCCTCCTGGCCCTTATCACAGCAGCAGTTCTGGTCACAGCACAGCCCTGAGCCTGGGCTGAGACCCTGGGCCCCACTCACTGCTGAAGGCCCTTTCCCTTGACTTGGCCACAGACACCCCAACTGGGAGCCAAAAAGAGCTTGAGACACATTTTGTTTGGCATGCACAGCATTTTAATTTTTTTAATTTGTTATCAACACTTTAAATCTAGGAGACTTTTATATTAAAATTCTAAGTTCCATTTTGGGGCTTAGAATTGCTCTGTGTTTTGATTATGGTGGTGTTGATTTGGATGTACACACTTGTTGAACTATGTTGAACTATGTACATAGTTTGTGTGTATGTGCCATTTATTGTATGTAAATTATATATTAATAAAACTGATTATAAACAAGTCTAGGTTCCCAAATTCTCCTAAAAAAAAAAAAAAA